GGCGGCAATCTTGTGTGGATTTGGCAGCCACTCCAAAACCCTGCAAAAAAATTTTTTAAATACTTTACAAGAGGTAATGGATATAATCAGAAATAATGGATAGATAATTAGAAATGAGAGTAATTTAACTTAAAATTCTTCTCTAGCAGAACTAGAACTGTTCAACAGGGACAAATACCCCCGCTGTGTTTTTTCAGAGTAGGTGCCAATTCACAAATATTTTAGGTGTTCACTATTGTCTTAAAACAAATCGAGTGAAAATATAATTGCGGTGAAAATATAATTGCATGCTCATTAATATTTTTCAATTTATGAATCTAAGGTGCAACCAAATAAAACATCAATACTAATACACTGTAACAGTTTTTTTTTTTTATTTCATTAAAAAAAGAAATTGCAATTATTTGTCATGCTACTCTGAAAAATAATTGTTGAAAAAAGAAATATTATACAGAATCAAATTAATCTTTATAACTTTATATCAAATTCATTTTAAAAATAATAAAGTGCCCAGCACAGCATGATACTCCAGTCAAATATTGTTCATTCAATTAATATAAACAGTTTAGAGTGCGAGGAAATCATGGCAACCTTTAAAAGGATTTCCATAATTTTTTTTCCTTTTGATATTTGTTTAAACATCTCCTGTGGTGTAAGCATTAATTATAACAAATAATCATCAAATGGTTGCATTATAGCTTGACAAATGCTCCTCCCCCACGAACAAACACATATGCATATATCTTTCATGTGGGACATGATGCTCTGAAATTTGTTACTTGATATTTTAATTTTTTTTAAAAAATATATCAATTTAACTAATTAGTATTAAAAACTTAATCTATAACAAATTGATTTTAGAAATAGAAGGCTGGCCATCAAATGACATGCTATTTAAACTGACTAGCAGTTCCTCTGTCTAATTCCCAAAGGACGTTAAATCAGAGATAACAGCTAACAGAAATGATTGAGACAGCTAGCTTTCCTACATTGAACTCATTAATTAATCTTTGACTGGATGCATGTCCACTGATAAATGCCAAGGTATGCAATTTTTTGTTATCAAAATTCTCCTTGACCAGTGCTTGATAATTATACCCTTGGGAGAGGTAGATTATCTCTTATAAAATAACATTTGATATGGATTGCTGTAAAGTATATAATGAAAAAATATTATTTTCTTAATTTAACATTTTTTAAACAGGGATAAAGAAACACTCTTACATTTCTGGGATTGTGTAATTCAATAGTAAAAGACAGGTTTCTTTTTAAAATTTCACTTAAATTAAAGGTCATCACGGTGACCTTAAAATAGGTCATGACACACCTTCTACCCAAGATGCATAAACTGTCCAAGTTTGATGATTGTCAGTCTAATAGTTTTCTAGTTATGAGCCAAACAAAACCATAAAATAAAAAAGAAAAAACACCTGTAAAATGCAGAAAAATTATCCAATCATGATGAAAATACCAGGTGCACAACTTCATATGATGAATAATAAGTGTACAAATTTTCAGACAAATCCACCCAATAGTTTCTGAGAAACGGTCCGGACAAAATCTTGTCTACAGACAGACAGACAGCTAGACAGACAGACGGACATGCTGATTCCAATATACCCCCCTTAATGCTGATTCCAATATACCCCCCTTAACTTTGTTTGCAGGGGTATAAAAAGAGATTATTGGAATTTCAATTGACAAAAATTTATTCAGACTTTTCCCACAAAATAAAAGTACAGTGCTAGCCATTTTTCATAGAACTCTACACATCTAGTGAGTAGATTTTTCATATATGCAAGACATACCAAGGGGAGGTCATTCATGCTGTACACTACCACTCCTTCGTACTGGGAGGTATTCTCTGTGATTCGACCTAAGCCAGACTTCATTACATGATGGCCATATACAAACTGCTGCTCAGCATTGGGCTTCAACCAGATCTTGTGCTACAGAAAGATCATGTCATTTTAACACTTACTTAGCTCCAAAAAATTATGTGCTTAAAAAAAATTTGGAGCAGAGAAAAAGCAAAGGGAAATAAAATTTGACATATTTTTCCAGTTACATTTAAATCTGAGATATTTAAGGTCACCTTTAAGTCAATCAGTTGAATGATATTTGCTATCCTTGACTTGGTTGATAGAAGCTTGAGCAGTTTGTGTTGCATGCAAATTAATATATGTGTGTATAATAAATTTTGCTAATTGAATCACTCTGATATTGCCAATTTACTAGTACCTGTATTGCAAAAAATGAATAATATAATTGGTGACAAGTAAGATATTGCTTAACTGAAAACACAGGCGATGGTATTTCAGAGCAATGATCCAGTTATTTGGATAAGGGCAAAGAATCTTTATTATGAAATTAAAATGTGTAAAAAACCAACAGGCACATAACATACTAGTACAAGCCCAAATAGAGCTAAAATTTTTGCAGCCTGACCTTTGCATAAGGAGCCATAAAATCCAAGGCTGTTATCTGCAGGCGGAATTTTCCCGATTTTGTCATTTTACCAAAGCATGTTCCCATACTGAGGAGGTTCTTCCTGGATACATTGCCAGCTTTCTTCATAAGATCCTCCCTGTAACAGAAGTAAAGAGGAGTCAGATCGGACACAGACAGCTTAACAGTAATCATTCTCACACAGAGAAGACCTCAACAGAGTGGTGAATTTTATTTCAGATTTTCTTTAGTATCATTTCCGAAATATGACTGACTTAATTGGTTCTAATTTTTTAATCCAGCAAGGTCAAAATATTATCTTAAAGATTTTGAAATGATATTAAATATACCATGGAACCGAAGATGTATGCGTAGAAAAAAAATGTCAACCATGCAGAAAAGTATTAGTGGTTTAGTTGTTTTGAAGGTCAGTGAAATCACAAACACAAGAACTTTTTCCTTATTGGGATCTTTTGAGTAGCTGGGATACAGAAAGTCAGGGCTGTACGTTGTAGTCATTAAAGTCAGTCATATGACTTCACATCTATTATTACAGCTGTTGTACTTACCTGACATAAAATATTCTATCTCTGTGAAGCCTAAAGCAGTAGGATCCATCTGGTCGATCTAAAAGCAGCTTGATATTTTCACCAATGCTGAAAATGGTAAATTAATTAAAAGATCTAAAAGATAGGATCTACAGTCATACACAACTTGATTTGTTCCCACACCGATTCGAACACAAGGATTCAACTTGTATATAAAACTGAAGTCAACTACATGTAAGTGTGTACTCAACTTTGTGTATGAGTGGGGTTGTGTACAAGTTAGATGGACAGCACAGAGACTGTACTAAACATTTAATTGATAAAAATTAGGCTGGTTGTGCCCAATTTCCTCTTAATAAATTAAGAACTCATAATACTTGATAGACATGCATTTAGCAAAGTTTATTTTATATGCACACTCTGTAACCATTTCAGTGGGACTCTTGCAAAATGTTGAGATTTTCTGGAATGCCAATACATCAGAGCAGAGACATGAATAACTATTTTATTAATTTATGTCTTTGATCAGATCTGATCCAAGATTTTTTTATAGCAAGGTATATTTATCAATTTAATTGGACCGTATCATACTCACTATTTTGAAAGTTTGTCGAAGAAAGTTTTTGTTTCTTCTTCTGTAAGTGGTCTCATATTTGTTGATTTATCTCGTTTTTCTTAGACTTACGACAATCAGAGGTATATTTACTATACAAAAACAGCGATGAGACCGTGGTCTCTTCTATCACGTGACTAATCAGAACGAGGCTACTTTCATTTTTGCATTGCCTACGGGCGTGCAGCATGGGATTAAGCCCTATGGTATCTTCAGATTACAGCCTATTAATTAAGCTGGAAGTAAGTGACAGTGTAACATAACAGAAATCTTCTCATGGTCTAAAATGCAGATTTTCACATAGAAAGCCATGATGATCATTTTTTAATGTTTTAACCAACTGAAATGACTATATCTGTATATATACTTGTCATGGTCTCTATATGACAGCTACATACAAGAGACTAGGGACTATAATACACTATATACTTGTCATGCTCTCTATATAACAATAACATACAAGAGACCAGGGACTATAACACACTATATACTTGTCACGGTCTCTATATAACAACTACATACAAGAGACCAGGGACTATAACACACTATATACTTGTCACGGTCTCTATATAACAATTACATACAAGAGACCAGGGACTACAATACACTATATACTTGTCACGGTCTCTATATAACAATTACATACAAGAGACCAGGGACTATAGACACTATATACTTGTCGTGGTCCCTATATAACAATTACATACAAGAGACCAAGGACTACAATACACTATATACTTGTCATGGTCTCTATATAACAATTACATAGCATGAGACCATTGACATATAACAGTCTTGAACAGGCATGGTCTCATGTTTACAACACTGTAGCATGAGACCATTGACATATAACAGTCTTAAACATAGATGGTCTCATGATTACAACATTGTGGCATGAGACCATTGACATATAACAGTCATAAACAGGCATGGTCTCATGTTTACAATACTGTAGCATGAGACCATTGACATATAACAGTCTTAAACATAGATGGTCTCATTTTTACTATACTGTAGCATGAGACCATTAACATATAACAGTCTAAAACAGGCATGGTCTCATGTTTACAACACTGTAGCATGAGACCATAGACATATATCAGTCTTAAACATAGATGGTCTCATGTTTACAACACTGTAGCATGAGACCATTGATTTATAACAGTCTTAAACAGGCATGGTCTCATGTTTACAATATTGGAGCATGAGACCATTGACATATTACAGTCACAAACATAGATGGTCTCATGTCTACAACACTGTAGCATGAGACCATTGACATATAACAGTCTTAAACATAGATGGTCTCATGTCTACAACACTGTAGCATGAGACCATTGACATATAACAGTCTTAAACAGGCATGGTCTCATGTTTACAATACTGTAGCATGAGACCATTGACATATTACAGTCACAAACATAGATGGTCTCATGTATACAGCACTGTAGCATGAGACCATTGACATATAACAGTCTTTAACAGGCATGGTCTCATGTTTACAACATTGTAGCATGAGACCATTGACATATAACAGTCTGAAACATAGATGGTCTCATGTTTACAATACTGTAACATGAGACCATTGACATATTACAGTCACAAACGTATATGGTCTCATGTATACAACACTGTAGCATGAGATCATTGACATATAACAGTCTTAAACATAGATGGTCTCATGTTTACAACACTGTAGCATGAGACCATTGACATATTACAGTCACAATCATAAATGGTCTCATGTATACAACACTGTAGCATGAGACCATTGACATATAACAGTCTTTAACAGGCATGGTCTCATGTTTACAATACTGTAGCATGAGACCATTGACAAATTACAGTCACAAACATAGATGGTCTTATGTTTACAACACTGTAACATGAGACCATTGACATATAACAGTCTTAAACAGGCATGGTCTCATGTTTACAACATTGTAGCATGAGACCATTGACATATAACAGTCTGAAACATAGATGGTCTCATGTTTACAATACTGTAGCATGAGACCATTGACATATAACAGTCTTAAACAGGCATGGTCTCATATTTACAACATTGTAGCATGAGACCATTAACATATAACAGTCTTAAACATAGATGGTCTCATGTATACAACACTGTAGCATGAGACCATTGACATATAACAGTTTTAAACAGGCATGGTCTCATGTTTACAACATTGTAGTATGAGAACATTGACATATAACAGTCTGAAACATAGATGGTCTCATGTTTACATTACTGTAGCATGAGACCATTGACATATTACAGTCACAAACGTAGATGGTCTCATGTATACAACACTGTAGCATGAGATCATTGACATATAACAGTCTTAAACAGGCATGGTCTCATGTTTACAATACTGTAGCATGAGACCATTGACATATTACAGTCACAATCATAAATGGTCTCATGTATACAACACTGTAGCATGAGACCATTGACATATAACAGTCTTAAACATAGATGGTCTCATGTCTACAACACTGTAGCATGAGACCATTGACATATAACAGTCTTAAACAGGCATGGTCTCATGTTTACAATACTGTAGCATGAGACCATTGACATATTACAGTCACAAACATAGATGGTCTCATGTTTACAACATTATAGCATGAGACCATTGACATATAACAGTCTGAAACATAGATGATCTCATGTTTACAATACTGAAGCATGAGACCATTGACATATAACAGTCTTAAACAGGCATGGTCTCATATTTACAACATTGTAGCATGAGACCATTACCATATAACAGTCTTAAACATAGATGGTCTCATGTATACAACACTGTAGCATGAGACCATTGACATATAACAGTTTTAAACAGGCATGGTCTTATGTTTACAACATTGTAGCATGAGACCATTAACATATAACAGTCTGAAACATAGATGGTCTCATGTATACAACACTGTAGCATGAGACCATTGACATATAACAGTTTTAAACAGGTATGGTCTCATGTTTACAACATTGTAGCATGAGACCATTAACATATAACAGTCGTAAACATAGATGGTCTCATGTTTACAACATTGTAGCATGAGACCATTAACATATAACAGTCTTAAACATAGATGGTCTCATGTTTACAACACTGTAGCATGAGACCATTGACATATAACAGTCTGAAACATAGATGGTCTCATGTTTACAACACTGTAGCATGAGACCATTGACATATATCAGTCATAAACAGGCATGGTCTCATGTTTACAACACTGTAACATGAGACCATTGACATATAACAGTCATAAACAGGCATGGTCTCATGTTTACAACACTGTAGCATGAGACCATTGACATATAACAGTCTTAAACAGGCATGGTCTCATGTTTACAATACTGTAGCATGAGACCATTGACATATAACAGTCTTAAACAGGCATGGTCTCATGTTTACAACATTGTAGCATGAGACAGTTGACATATAATAGTCTGAAACATAGATGGTCTCATGTTTACAATACTGTAGCATGAGACCATTGACATATAACAGTCTTAAACAGGCATGGTCTCTTGTTTACAACATTGTAGCATGAGACCATTGACATATAACATGTCTTAAACATAGATGGTCTCATGTCTACAACACTGTAGCATGAGACCATTGACATATAACAGTCATAAACAGGCATGGTCTCATTTTTACAATACTGTAGCATGAGACCATTGACATATAACAGTCTTAAACAGGCATGGTCTCATGTTTACAATACTGTAGCATGAGACCATTGACATATAACAGTCTTATACATAGATGGTCTCATGTTTACAACATTGTAGCATGAGACCATTGACATATAACAGTCGTAAACATAGATGGTCTCATGTTTACAATACTGTAGCATGAGACCATTGACATATTACAGTCACAATCATAGATGGTCTCATGTATACAACACTGTAGCATGAGACCATTGACATATAACAGTTTTAAACAGGCATGGTCTCATGTTTACAACATTGTAGCATGAGAACATTGACATATAACAGTCTGAAACATAGATGGTCTCATGTCTACAATACTGTAGCATTAGACCATTGACATATTACAGTCACAAACGTAGATGGTCTCATGTATACAACACTGTAGCATGAGATCATTGACATATAACAGTCTTAAACATAGATGGTCTCATGTTTACAATACTGTAGCATGAGACCATTGACATATAACAGTCTTAAACAGGCATGGTCTCATGTTTACAATACTGTAGCATGAGACCATTGACATATTACAGTCACAATCATAGATGGTCTCATGTATACAACACTGTAGCATGAGACCATTGACATATAACAGTCTTAAACAGGCATGGTCTCATGTTTACAATACTGTAGCATGAGACCATTGACATATTACAGTCACAAACATAGATGGTCTCATGTATACAACACTGTAGCATGAGACCATTGACATATAACAGTCTTAAACAGGCATGGTCTCATGTTTACAACATTGTAGCATGAGACCATTGACATATGACAGTCACAAACATAGATGGTCTCATGTTTATAATACTGTAGCATGAGACCATTGACATATAACAGTCACCCCAAAAAAAAACAATGTTATTATGTGAAATGCTTAATTATATGGGTAACTTACGTTATTTCCTATGTTTATGTAATTAAACAATTTTAAGACTATAATAATTTTAATGGTAGACACTCTATATCCTTTTTTCAGTGCCCCACACATTATGGATGATAATTTTGTAAATTAGAGCAGTACTTTCTCGAGAGGGGCCCTTTGTTTTTCTGGACATCAGAATTTTATATCAATGGATTGTCCTGGAATTGCCATACAGGTATGTGATGAAAATTACAAGAGCTGATTTGTATGGCTATCTCAAATATCTTACTTGAGGAAATATCAATCACAATGAATTAAGTTAATTACAGTTCTATATATAGAGAAAGGCAATTTCTTTTTATTATTTAATTGATCACATTTTTAGGCCTACAGTATTAATTTTGGACTCATATAAGAGGAATATCATATATTAAGCAGGCTTTTTCCATTGAACTAAAGGAAACTGTCCTTTAACATGTGCATGAAGCAGCTCCCTGGATGGTGTGTAGTCTGTTTGTCAACATGTGGAGTCCAGGTGTATATCAAGCTGTACAGCGACTATCAGAATTTCGGAGCAAATCAAAGATCTGATTTTAATCAGATTGATTTCAAAGAAGGTATGTTTACTGTCAATTTTCTTTTCTTTTTTTTTTAAAGCTGCATCAGGTGTGTTTTTTTCCTATTCAAATTTTTGTGTAAGTACATGTATTACTTTTTATTTTCTCTTACATTAATTTACTGCAGAGGGTCTAGTTAATAAATTTGATAAAGCTATAAAGTAGCATATAGTCAATAATTTCTATGTGTGAATCCTAAAGAGTATAAGGTAACTCTCATTTTGTAATTCGCGCGTTTTTTTATTTGGGAAAAGATTAGAACAGTAGAACAGTGGCAATTTTTAATGAAACCCTTTTAAACTATTAATGTTATATATTGTAAAAGTAGATTTATATTCAATATAGAAACTCGTTTGTTTTTAGCAAAAGAATAAGTTATGTAAACCTAAGATGTTGAGCATCAACATGACCAAACTGTCGGTGAAGAAGCACACCCCCTCCAAACACACAAAACATACCCTTCTCTGTGTTGTTAATTTATGTGTTTCGTGTAATTAGTTTTTAAAAACAATTCATGGTTTATAAATATTAACATTTTCTGTTTGTAAATAAACCCAACGTCGGGGAAAAATTCCCAAGGTCAAAGATCCATGTGCTCGTCTATTTTAATACATCCAATGGGATGAATGAAGAGAAGGGTCAAAGCAATATCATTGGTTCAAAAGTAGGACGATCATGTTTCCATCTCGTGCTCGAAAATTTCACGAAGGTATGCTTGTTTCGAATAGTGCATGCAACGAAGATAGTCGTGTTTCTGGAAGCTCTTAGAAATGGCATCAGACAGAGGAATATTTGTACATTTAATTGCTGGGGGGTAAGTTTTCGATAAATTTTTCATCTTCTTTATGCTTGAAGCGATTTTATGCACAAAATGGCCGGTGTTTCATGAAACATGCATGTAAACAATAGAATTGTCAAATCAAAATACAACTCTCCAAAACAAAGTCTACAAAAATCATTGAAAATTAAGCATGGTTTGGATTAACAAAAAAATTAAGAAGTATCTAAATATATAAGCTACACGTGCAAGCGTTCAGCAAAACAGCCAAAGGTCGTTTAATCAATTAATGACCCACATTTGATAGTAAAATGATTCATCTATATCTTGGTTATAAATCTTTTTATCGAACGAATTCAATTATTTTTTTCTGTATTAGGCCCACTGCAAAGGAAATTATACCCATGGCAGTCTGTGGAATGATATACAATGAACACTGATTTCATAACCTTTCAAATTCTATGCACAGAACATGAATGTCATTATAATGTGCTCTGGGATTAGGGGGTATTATGTTTATACCTAATGCATAAAACCATGAATAAGTATGTTACATAAAGTGTATTTCCATTCAGAATTGCACACTTACTGTGTATTTCTGATAGAATAATCACACCAAACACTTGCATAATTCACTTATTTAAACCATGCCTGCAGCTAATTTGTTACATTACTAATGTAAACATTGCTGGGTTAATAGAATATAAGGACAAAAGATATTATGGTGATTATATACTAATTTTTACATGATAGTTAAAAAAGAAATATGTTTTAATAATCACGAGCTGGAATTTTTAAAAAGTGTGTCACTAGATCAGTGACCTAAATTACCACCGTCATCGTCTGCCTGCATGATTACGTGGTTATAGTTTTTGTTGAATGAATTATTCCATTCGTGAAAAAAAATAGATAGATTTAATACCCTTTGCAAACAGTTGGGACAAGGAATATTGATTCAAAGCAACGCATAAAACTAAGATGTTAATGACTAACTTATAGTGTCAACTCTAAACATTTGTAGGCTAATTTTCATAAATTAGTATTTTCTATAAAATCGATCAACATGCAAATAAATTGCAGAAGTAAAATAATTTCACCTCTCAGGTAAACGTTTCTCAAACGAATCCTTTTTCATGCCAAAGTTTAAATATGTCTGAAGGTATTACTGATAAATGAGTTATTGACTGGCTGAAACTGGATTGGTTTGGAAAACACCTGAAAAATGAATGTCTTTAGTCTGCACTAGTTATGCAAGAGATGTTTGGCTTTGAAGTTTTAATTTAAAAATTCAAAATAAATGAAGCAAAGGATTAAAATTAAAGATTTGAAGGCATGAATTGAAATTTAATTTTTAAAAAAAATTTCAGTGCTGGAGGCACGGCGGGCGCGGTAGCGACCTGTCCGCTCGAAGTGGTGAAGACGCGCTTACAGTCCTCCCTGGGAACGTCACTGACGGCATCTCACCCCGCATTTCGTCCATCCCACAATACCGTGCTGGCGGCCCATGCAGCTGGTATCCACACGAGTCAGGGGGCAGTAATACCTCTCATGAGATCACCGACCGGGAGTCTAAGATATTGTCTGGCGTAAGTAATGCAGGTTAAATGATGCATAGTAACACAGTGATTAAAGCAGGTCAACTGTATAAATATAATCTGGATTAACTTAAACTTGACCATTGCTTAAATAGA